CTTTGTAAATGGTTGGACAGTGTTGAGGGAATTATTTGTTTAGCAGAGTTTGGAAATGTTTAAAAATCTTTAAATAAAGTGGCCTCTAAAGGAACTCTTCGCGGGGGGGGGGGGGGCCCCTTCCTATTTGTTAGTTTTTAAATGCAAACCAAAGAGAAAACAAGTTGTGCTTTGATCACAGGGAGCCAAGCATTGTGGGTCTCGCTGCAGAGATCCCCACCTTGACACCTTCGACACATCACACAAAGGGGATGAGAAAACGCACATTTTGTTTGTGCAATCAAGAGCAAAAGGCCTGGTGCAGAGAGAGATTTCTTGAAATTCAGTTTTGCATGGTTGAAGAGACACCACACCAGAAGAACCACAGCTAAAAATAATGCAGGCTGTACCGTTCGGGTATAAATTGGACACGGTGTTCTGTAACCACAACATTTAGCTCTGACAAAAGAGTTGAACCAGAGTTGTATTTTTGCCCACTCTCACAACTCCGGAAAATGGAGTCTTGGGGGAGTTGATTAAAGGGGGAGCAAAGCCTCCTGCCCCCTCCCCCGATGTCAAGAAAAGGGCATGGAGGAATAGTAGAGGCAGCTGGAGCACAGCAAGTTGGTTGAGATGCTTTCTCACAAAAACCTGCACCAGACATGCAAGATCAAAACCTCAAAATAGTTTTGCTTGCATCATTGTTTTCCAGCAGGGGGATTCTGGGAGTTGAAGTCCTAACATCTGGCTGGAAAGGGCAGTAGTTTTGCTTGATGCCACTTCCATATATGCCTTAAGTCAATTTCTCAGTGCCACTGTAACTTCAAATGGTTTTTAAACAAATGGTTGCTGTTTGGAGCCGGTGCAGTGGTTAGAATGCAGCACTGCAGGCTGACTCTGCTCACTGCCAGCAGTTCGATCCAGACCAGCTCAAGGTTGACTCAGCCTTCCATCCTTCTGAGGTTGGTAAAATAAGGACCCAGATTGTTGGGGACCAGAGGCTGACTCAGAGAGGGTTGGAAAGCACTGAAAAGTGGTATATAAGTCTAAGTGCTATTGCTTATTCAACTCAAGGACGGCCTGCAATCATGATATTTGTTTTCAGAGAGCCATTTATTTTAAACATATCAGTGTTTAGCTCTTCATAAGCAAAAGAAGACTTGAGTTTTCTTCCCTCTAATAATTTGGAGAGACATAATTTGCATCGTTTCTCAACCTCAGCAGCTCCAAAGGTTTTATTTTAAAATAGGTGTAACTTATCCTGGGAAAGGTTTTGTTTTTTGAAGAGAAGCCAATAAAAAAACTACGCCCACCGTCTAATACCTGCAACCAGGCACCGTTGCAGTGAGTAGATGCAAAGCTGTGTGTCTGGGCCCCACTTACATTTCTGTTCTTCCTCTGGAACAATGCGGTAAACCTTGTAGGGCTCCGAAATATCCAGCTGGGACCTCTCCGTCACCTCTTCAAAGTCGGGGCTTTTGTTTAAGGCACAACGGAGTCTGGTTTTCCACGTAGCTGGCTCTGCCTTCTCTCCTTCTTTGTACTTCCCTTTGAATACCGCCCAGGCCTGCAAGGAAGGACAGGAAGAACTCTCACAAGGTGTTCTGACCTAGACCTTCCCAAGATCATGAAGCCAACTCCTCATCCCGATAAAACCCCTTTTATTTAGGCTAAAGGGAATTCGTCTCCAGCAAAGTCTTGGCAAACAGTCTTTCGTGAGGTTTCACAACTACAAACCTTTATCAGGCTGGGAGAGTTGCCAGGCTGATATCTTCTAAATGCCACACTGTAGCAGCAATGACGGCAAGAAGTCAAGAACAGATTTTCACCCTAATGAATTGAACTAATTGTCTTCTGCAAACCCCACTCCCCTTTTGCTCCTCTTTATTCCCTATGGGAGGGGCCATTCACTGTCCATCTGTGCCCTTACTCCCAAGTTGACCCTTGTTCCTTAACTGTTCCCTTCTCCTGGCAGTTCTGCACATGCACACACTGGGAACAGGCTCCAGCTGTTCTTCTGCCCCACTGATCTCTGACTCCGAAGGCAGCTGAAAACTGTTGGACGGCACTGGCCCCATCTCTGCCTCTGACACAGAGCCCTTGTCAGAGCCTCCCCAGACTCCAGGACTGGCCCATGTTCCTCCCCAACCTCCTCACTGTCCGAGTCTGCTGCCCACCCTGCTGCCCACTGGCTGGCCACAACACAAAGAAGGACTCAACTGTTTGAGATCCTGATCTAAGAAAGGGACAAAGGAGACCCAGCTTGGTTTAGTGGTTAAGGCATCAGGCTAGAAAGCAGGAGATTGTGTGCTCCAGTCACATCTTAGGCACAAAAACCAGCCGGGCAACTTACATTATATTTTATTTGGCCAAGTATTAGTAGGCACGCCAGGAATTTCTCTCTGGTGGCACAAAAGCACTCAAGTGCAGGTGCAATTTTGGGGCAGCCCTTCTCCCTCAGGGCTGTGGTGTGGTGAAAATAGGAAGAGGAAGGAGTTTTAGGGGTGTTCACTGCCTTGAGTTATTTGTAGAAATAATAAAGGCAGGATGCAAATAAATAAAAATAATAAAAGTGGGGTACAGATCAACAAATAAAATAAAAATAAGGAAGGCCATTAGTAAGACCATTGCACCATCCAAGTGCCTTGATGGGCTATCGGTCCTCATTTCTCATTCTTATTCTTGGGTTTCTTCTACATCTTATGAACATCAGTGTCAGCACTCGTGCCACATTGAAATATCTTGTGTACTATTTTTAAAATGCATGCAAGTAGCCCCTTTAAAATGTAATTTCTACCAAGAACCATGGTGTGTTCAGCTGCTTTTCCCCCACTGACTACTGCAAGCACTACCATCTAAATTACCCAGCTCTTCAATTCAGCACTATGGCAATACTTAGTGACAAAATTAAAAAAAATATTTCTCCATGGTGGTGGTGAGGAATTGGCATCTCATCTATTTAACCACCATCCAACTTCATGGGCAATTCAAAAGAGGTTCCAGAGAATCACCAAAACAGCAGTTGTTCCAAAGAAAGAACCAATTTTTGCATGATGGGGAAAAAGCAGAGCCATTCTAAAAAAAATCTAAGTTGGACACCATGATTTGGATAGCAAGATGATTGGCACACACATCTATTTATGTATTAAACATGATTAAATAAGTACATGAAATGGATGGGATTGAGTTTAGCAAAATTCACTCAAAAAAGGGGATAGACAACTTCATATTTGAGCCAAGCTACCAACAATTCAATCAAGGAATGCCTGTGGTTTCCATCAAAATACATTTTTTAATACCTTGAAAATGGATGCATCCACCTCTTGGTTGTAATCCTGTTTTCCCGCATGTTTCCATGGAATACGAAACATGGTTTTCTCCTCGTTCTCCCAGATCAAACCAGGATACAGTCCACTGTCAATTTGTTCGATCAGCCATTGTCTAAGCCGCCTTCCACCGTTTCGGTCACACACCCTGTAAGGAGAACATGTCAAGTGTTTTTCTTCCACACTTTTTCAGTCCTTTTGCAGTGGAACTCCAATATTGTCAAAGATTCGGTCTCTAATCTGGTGTTTCTCACCCATGGCTGGCTGGGGAATTCTGGGAGTTGAAGTCCACCATTCCGAAGGTTGAGAAACACTGCTCTGACCCTATGCCTCATTTTTAATCCTCTATGAAATTGAACTGACACATGTCAACAGGGAGGATCTCAAGAAGGAAGGTGTATATTTGCATGGTCAACCTAGATCTAGGAAATGTTTATAAGAAAAAATCTGATGGTTGTAATATAATGTAAACCATGGAATGTTTGGGCAGGTAGGCTGTCCTTATGGAATGCTCTTGTACCAAAAGTCATGATCTCAACTCAAACGTCTTGTATATTAACCGACGTTGATGTACATTGTAAGCTAGCTAGATAACAACATTTAAATCAATGTTGGCTCATTCTGAAAATGATCTTCTGACTCAGTTCTAGTTAGAACTTGGTTTCTGAAGCTGAAGACTAGGAAAAAAATTGTTCCTGACTCAACAAACACATCTGACAAATAAAGATATGGAATGGACATGTCCAGGAGAACATGAGGAGCCAACTTTGACTTGAGGGTCAACAAGAGATCCAAATTATGAACAATATTTTATAACATGTGGAGGGTTATGTCCTAGTGGAACTTTGAATGAAAGTTTTTGAAGCATTTATATCAATATTAGGGAAAGATCAACACAGGATAAAACTATATCTAAGTCTCTTCAAGTGCCATGATTTTTCTTAAAAGCAGTCACTACGAGTTTTATTGGAGGCAAGAAACAGAGATACGCCACAACTGGGAGGGGGAATGGAACCCCCAAAACTGCACAAGAGAGACGATTCCAACTGCATTTTAAGGAAGTCTCTTCACGAACGAAATGCTCAGTATAAAACTGTGTGAGAAAATGTATCAGCTGACTGCGGGGAGGAAAATTACCCAAACGATCTTTAATCAAGAACTATTAACAATTTTCCCTGAAAAAGAGCTTCCTCATAATGTTGTAAGAATCAAAATCCTTTTGTAGTGCTCTCTCTCTCTCCCTCTCTCCCTCTCCCTCTCCCTCTCTCTCTCTCTCTCTCTAAAAATGGAAATATTCAGATACCCATGGTGGATAACCTAGAACACAAAGAACGAAGGCGCATGTTTTGTGATTCTTATTGCTTTGTTAAAAGAGGTGAAAAGCTGGGGTGTCTGAACCCCATTTCCTAAATTGCAACCTTCCCTAGTGAGTACAGGTCAACTGTCCAACAGGATTTATCCAATACCCTCGGTGCACTTGTGTTATTGCTAGTCCTAAACCCCAATGAGAAAGGAGGAAGACTGGGCCTCATCTGTAGCAACTGGACCCCATCCAACAGGTACCCCAACAGCTGTAGTTCCAGAAGATGTGACCACGATTGTTGGAGAACCATCCCTGCCCTATGGGCTCTACAGCACCGTTAAATCTAAGTAAACAGATGCATTGCAATGGAGAGACATAGTAACAAAATAACAGAGCTGGAAGGGACTTGGAGATCTTTTAGTCCAGCACTCTGCTAAAACAAGAGACCCTGCACCATTTCAGACAGATAGTTATCCAATCTCTTCTTAAAAGCCTCCAGTGTTGGAGCATTCCCAACTTCTGGAGGCAAGTTGTTCCACTGGTTAATTGTTCTAACTGTCAGGAAATTTCTCCTTAGTTCTAAGTTGCTTCTCTCCTTGATTAGTTCCCATCCATTGCTTCTCATCTTGCTTTCTGGTCCTATGGATAATCAGTTGACCTCCTCTTCTTTGTGGTAGTCCCCCAAATATTGGAAGACAGCCATCATATCTCCCCTAGACCTTCTTTTCACTAGGCTAGACATCCCCGATTCCTGCAACCATTCTTCGTATGTTTTAGCCTCCAGTCCCCTGTTCATATTTGTTGAACTTTTCTCAAGAAACTTGAGAACTGTTCTGAAGAGTCAATAATCATAGAATCTTAGGACTGGTTCAAAGATTCCTTTCCTGTTGTTGTTTTTAAGAAAACACTGCAACCCAAGAAGTAAAATGTGTGTCTAAATGAGCCTCAGAGATCCGGAATTAAAGTGTGAGTATGGGTCACACAAACGACGTTTAAATAGCAACCTAGAATATTTCGCTGCAAATTCTTGGTTAGAATTTTACGTTCTAAATTTCAGCTTTAAGGGAAGGTTTCTAATTTGAGCTTCTCAAGCTGCTGCGCCATTTTTTTTAAAACTCTGGCCACAATTTCCTTTTTAAAAGCCTGTCAAAAAAAATAGCAACCACAGTCCAATGAACAATTCTACAGGAAGACCTCTCCGTGCAAGCTAATTCAGAAGTCAGCCCCCATGCAGGATGCTTTAAATCCATGAGAACAGCAGCTTCTAGTATGTTCTTCAAGACCAGGAAGCAGAAATGTCCCAACTCTGCTTCTAGGCCAGTGTTCCACAACCACTTTCCGAGGTGTGGACTTCAACTCCCAGAAAACCCCAGCATGGGGAATTCTGGGAATTAAAATCCACACCTTGGAAAGTGGTTGAGTTGAGAAACGTTTCTCTAGAGACAGATGCGGATTGCACCATCGTTTGGTCTCTCCGCCATGAGAAGGCAAGCCATCTGTGTCCTCCCCTTCCGTCTCTTCTCCCTCCTTCTTCTCCTTCCATTTCTCTTTCTGAAGGTCCTAGGTCAGGATGGAAAGCTACCCTGGGGACCTTCCAGATGGTCATGCCAAGGGATGACAGCTCATCTAACTTCAGCGCCAGTGGGGGAGGAATCCCAAAGCTGGAAGAACCAACCCAAATCAAGCAAAGATGGCAACTGCGGGATCTAAAGAAAAGGCCGGGTCCAAAAAGAGCAGAGAAGATGTCCAAGGTCCTGAATGTCCAGAAACCCAGGAGAAAGGAGACCTCCCTCTGGATGTGAAGAACCCTGGATCTGGAAGCCCCTCATCTTCCCTTCAGGAGACCCCCACAAGCTACCAGGCTGGTAAGACCTGCCCACCCTCCTCCAGGGAAGTCCTTCCCCCCCGCCCCAGCCTTCAGCTGACCTGCTCCACATCTGGACTGCGCCGGCTGCAGCGAAGTGGGAGCAGCTCTCCCGCGATAAGCGCGCCGCCCCGCAAAAGTGAGCCCGAAACTCGCGCTTCGGGGAGCGCTTTTATACCCCCGGCCGAGCGGAGGGGGGTCGGCCACAAAGGCCGTTCAGCCAATGGCAAGCTAGAGCGGGAGGCAGGCTGGCCAATGGGAAAGGGAAGCATTCTTGCCACTGCGCCCGTTTCAGAGAAATCAGCCGGCAGGCGCGTCACTCGCTGCAGCCAGGTGGGATGTCTTGCCCGGCCGTGCCCGGGGCGCTGAACTTGCCCGCTCGGGGCTTCCAGGGAACGCTTGGGCGCCCACGAGGCGGAGGCGGAGGAGTTGGGTGGTTGGCCAGGAGTATCTGCTTCTCCTTGTCGGAAATCTTTCCTTTCCTTCCCTTCCTTCCTTTTTTCCTTCCTACTTTTCACCTCTCTTTCTCCCATCCCTCCCTCCCTTCCTCCCTCCCTCCCTCCCATACATCCTTCCTCCTTTTCTTTTTTTTCTGCCTTCCTATCTTTTTCTTCCTTCCTTCTTTCCTTTCTTTTTTTCTTCCTTTTTCTTTCCTTCCTTTTAATCCTTTCTTTCTTTCGCGTTCCCACCTTATTGGTTTGCTTTTTATTTCTTTTCTTAATGAATAAATGGTAGAGAGGCAAGAAAGAGACTCTCAAAGAGGTGGGGGAAACGTCCAAAGCGTGAGAGAGAAAAAAAGGTGATATGGGTGGAAACTCAGCGGTGGACGCAGGATGGGCTACACAGGAAGGGTGGCAATTGTGTCAATTTCTAAGGATGCCACCACAAGGAGGGTGAGAATCATGAGGGCACAATTGCCCAGCAGCTGAACATCTATTAAAAATTGTGAGAAACACCATTAGAGGACAAAATTGGAGGCAGGTTTCCCTCATTCCTGGGGACTTTCTTTAAAACTGCATTTCTTCCTTCCTCACCTAAGGTTATACTACAAAGCTTACAGAACTATTTGGCCAGTTGATAAGAAAAGTTGGTAGCCCAACACGTTTTCCTCATTTGATGTATTTATTTTTCCTCTATGGGCAGACTACAGTCCATGCATTTCTGGACAACCTTATTATTTTAATAAATCAATAAAGTTTAGTCATGAATGTCAAACTTCTCCAAGGATGTTTGCAAAGGCTGGCCAAGGAATGTACAGTGTCTGGCGTCGATCAAATCTAAGGATCAACTGCCTCGAAATATTATTCTCCTTCCCAGGGACATGGAAGGCAGGATATCTCTCACCATCATCTGCGTGTTTGATCAACCAGGTTTAGCCTCCTTGTCTGGTTCCATTTCAGCCTTGGACTTCTGTTTGCAAGTGAGGAGGGGGGACATGACCCCCTGGCAGTCAAATCTGCTCAAGTGAGGGTTCTTGGTGCTCTCCGAGCTCGGCTGTTTTCTTAAAGACATTTCATTACCCAACACGGGAACTTCCTTAGGGCTAGAAGGGAGTGGGGTATGTGAGGAGGAGGAGGAGGAGGAGGAGGAGGAGGAGGAGGAGGAG